TTCCTAGATAAGCCAGTTTATCCCGAATGCCGACTGACTGAGATGGGGAAGGAATACATCGGGACCTTGGACGTGACGGAGTCCGGAAAACAGTGCCTCAGATGGGATTCCCCGGATGTGAAAATGTTCTACTCTACAGTTGCGGAGGGGTTCGATAGATACATGTTCTTCGAAGAGCATTTCCTGAACCAGGACCCATCCTCCCACGAAAATTTCTGTCGGAACCCGACATTGAACAAAATGCCCTGGTGTTTCATCGAGAATGACGGCCTGAAGTGGGAATATTGCTCGATTCCATTTTGTGATGATCTGAGTAAGTGTCTACCTGATACTCAAATTCGTTCATCAAGGAACAACAATTGCAATATTCTAGGCAAAAATGTATTCATGCTCTGCATTTCTTGATTTCTTTCAAAACTTCACTATTCTGGCATAGGAATACATTTTGGACCTACGGCTTCCAATTTTAAATAGCAAATTCCTTCCAGGGAAAGTTAGGATTCTCTATTGAAATGGAGTTATTATGTTCCTGTTACTTGCAGCAATTATACGCACGTTGCAAACAGGGGTCCGTTTAATGCGAATGAAGGGAAAGAAAGACTCGTTTTCGAACAATAGGAAATACTGTTCCGGATCAGGAGTGATGAAATTCCATATCTGCATAACTTCTAGGAATAAAAGATACGGTCTCGCGTTCGTCAATAGCTCTCCAACTGAAGCTCAACAATTAATGGCACTCCATAACTCAAACTGTGCAGGTCCAAGACAGAAATACTAGACTAAATATTTATATTGGCTTAATATTCCTTCAAAACTCAACTTAGAGTAAGAAAACTAAAAATACTCTTCAGAGGATCAAATGTTGTTTGATCGCATTCATGAGATTCTTCATGAAGACCACGCCTGATTTTTTTTTTAAGTGGAAAAGAATGGAACCAGATGGCAAAATAAATGACTCACCATCAAATTAAAACAAAGTGCTCAAACTTGCTCGTTTTTTGCATAGGTTAACTAGGGGGAAATGGCCATTGGGGTAATATGGCCCTTCACAATGAATCCCTTAACAAAATGAATAATTAGTTTGGGCGAAATTTGAAAATAGTTCTATGGAAGAGTGCATGCAATTATCGAGGTGTTTCGACCTGTTCATTGATCCAGTTCTCACTGGAATTCGGGATACATAGATTTCTTCTAGTCATATGCATGCAATTCTTCAACTCACGTCCCAGAAACTAATTTTGGCCTTGAGCCACTGGACGAAATATGCAGTTCATGAGGAGTCGGTGCATCAGAATATGAACATGCACCGCCTCTTTGACATCCACTTGACATGCAGCAGACATTTTTGAGGCACGAAACGTGAATGCAAGTAAATAACCCTTGTACATCTCGTACATGAAGTTAAAATGAAGTGAAGAACATGAAGTTAAGCTAAAAAAAAAATTTGCAGAATACCCTTAGGGAATTCTGCAATTTTTTTCCACTATTTATGCATGCGTCCAAAAGCTTCACGTTTTTCCTTCAATGTAATTCCTCTTATTTCACACTCTTAACACATGTTCACTCTGACCTATGTTTGATCCTTTTTCTTACATCGACAGCTCGTACATACAGTCTCCCAATGCATGCAATGCTACTTAAAAAACGTTGCAATCCAGCTTTGCGCAGCAGGTAATCGAGTCAGGTAATGATGTCGACATTTTTGCAGTTGGTGTTTCTTTTTCAACTCCTGAGCGTCCTTTATTATGTTTAAAATTACTCAGCAAGTTCCAGCTTTTTTCACACGTTCCTGGAAAATCTGGAGTTGCTTTTTCAGAAGTGGTCACATTCCCCCAACTACATGGGAAATACGGCCTCTTGAGACCAACTTGAAAAGGATCCAAAGGCGTAATATCCATGCGGTTTTTGCATAGGCCTTGCTGGGATTTAGTAAAGGAGACATGACTCAATATTTTAGAAACATTGCAAAAGTGAAATTTGACCTTGACGGGCCGTTATGACCAAGTTTCAATTTGTAGGGCCATATTCCCACAAGTTACCCTACATACAGGAAGCCGGGACGACATGAGAAACCTCATTTTACTACCATGGAAAATATTCAGCTATTCTCTTGTTTCGTCCGGAAGTCATTCTAGAACTTTTTAAAAAGTTGCGTTTCTACAAAACCGGTTGCCGATTTTTTTCAGCTGCCCCAGAATGCAAGAAGACTCAAAAGGGAGCTGAATACGTGGGGTCACAAAACAAAGGGATATCTGGCTGTACTTGCCTTTCGTGGCTTCGCCATGAGGCGGTGATTCCGGAAGAAATGTTTGCAATGAGGAGGCAGGCATTCCCCGATACCCTCACGGATGAGCACAACTACTGCCGGAATCCGACCGGGAAGTCGGGTGGTCCCTGGTGCAAAGTTCCTGATCCCACAGGCTCTGGGTATGATTGGGAGTATTGCGATGTGCCTCTCTGTGCCGTGGCAGACGCGAAGAGGACATGCGACACGGAGGGCCGATGCGCGCCGAGTAAGTAACATGATTTAAAGAGCTAACATTCGTTAATTTTCGTATTCGTTTTCGTTAATGAATGTCAATACCGATTAAAATCAACATTCTTGATCAATCACAACTTTTAATGTATTGGTACCGAAAGTTATTGATATGAATGCCGATATGGTATTGATATGTTACTTTGGCCTTCAAAAAATGGGAGCTTTAAAATTTTCTTAGACACTGCCATTGTTAAATTCTAGTCCCTTAACGATACCTCAAGGTCGCAAAGAATTGAAAGCACAGCCGCGCTTTGACTACCGCCTCTCGAGCGCGTATGAAAACATTGTGGAATTTCAAGTGGTCGTGAAACTTGGCAGCCTAACGAAATGGAAACCAAATCGGTCCGATTCGAGTCATACGACTCGAATAGGGCATGTTCTCTCATAGTTCACTACGTTCCACTGGTAGTTTCTTGCCAGAAAGTGACGTCATTCAATGACGTGATCGCCTCGAGCGCTGACGGAACGAGGCGTCCTCATTGTCTGCAGCTACAAACGGCTCGAGAAAAAGACTCCTGTGAGTGCATTCTAGCGTATTCGCTGCTCCAAACATGGAACTTGATTGCCAACCGATCCGTGTGTCGGGTCTGCCTGAAAAAGCTTATCCCCATTCCATGCGGAGCTCGAGTGAGAGGCGTCTCACTACGTCGGGGGGATCTCGCTAAATAATTTCTTCATAGGCATACGGATTTTGGGTGATTTATTAATTCAAAGTCAATCGGTGGCCTCTGATGACGGAAGAATCAAACATACTTCATCTCTTTATCAATGACGCCAAATTTGGCGGTTCAAAAAATCCTGCGAAATGGCTTTTGTAAATGCCATTCGACTGAATACAATTAACCGCAATCAGACGTGAATATTCCATGGGTTGCGTCTTCCTGTCTGTCCGCCTGATGTTTGCGCTGGTCAACTTTTCCGAAACCGACCCGATCGGTCGGTCGGATTCGAATCGTGGTCTTACCAGACACAAAACTACATCGTCAGACCGAAATTTACGGAAACTTCCCCGCGGGGTCGTGTTGGGCCGATCGCGCCAACCCACAGATCAAATCGGGCCTCTGAGTTTTGTACTCGGGGTCTCCGGATTCGTCCCCTTTCTGAGCGGCGCTGCTGACGCATCCAACTTTCCAAAGACGTCGCGTTCGTGTCGGCTTGTCGTGTTCTCATAGTTCACTGCGTTCCGCTGCCAGCAGATTGCACAAGGGTGACGCCATTTAAAGACGTGCGATGACGGAACGAGGTGCCCTTTTTTTTAAAAAAAAAATTCATCTATTCAGCTGCACCTAACATGAAAATACCTTTCCGGACCGAGCTGCCGGCCCGATCCGCGGGTCGCGTCAGTCCATTTGAGTTTAAACTCGGGGACTAAAAAGGGAAATTTGAGATCCATGAGTATGTGCAGCATCTTCCCTCCATCTGATGCCGCAAAGTTCCTAAATCCTATGATTTGTCTCATATGTTGTTATAGAACCAAATCTGTATTTTGCAATATAGGGAAATTCTGAGATCGATTTAAGGGAGGGGGGAGGGGGAATTACGGAGCGCATCCAATGTTATTCATTCGAAATATGGCCTTTGAAAATTTCAGCTGTTTCATTTACATTTTTGGAAACTGAAACCCTTTAACCTCAAATACGAAGATGTGAGTGTCTCACAGGTAGAAGCAAGTACTCAAAATTCCTAAATTATTATCCTACTTGATATTTACAGTGTATTATTGTAAATATTACCTACAAATTAGTGCAGAAGAAAAGCTTCATAAACTCATTTGTAAGTTATTATCAAGGTAAAATAATTCCGATTCCGTAAGAACTTCTTATGCTTATTCCTCGCAATCAATAGCATTGTCGAAAGACGAACACACATTTTGCAGGTGGAGTAAAGGCTTCGCGAATATATCCAGAATGCAGAATGACCAAAATGGGGAAGGAATACCGTGGAACCCACAGTCGAACAGAAAACGGAAAGAAATGCCAGCCCTGGAGTATTTTAAATAGGAAGGATATCGATAAAAAAGACCACCTGCTGGATTTCCTCTACTCTTATCACCCTTACCACGAACACGACGAAGTACCAAAGGACCTTCAAGATTCAATTCTGAAAATCGTTGAAAACCAGGAGAGAAACTACTGCCGGAACCCTGCGAGGGCCGAGCGACCATGGTGCTTCGTCTCCATCATGCCTTCTTTGAGCTGGGGATATTGCGACATTCCCTTCTGCCACCGTCCGAAAGGTCTGCGATTCGTCGGGTGTTTGAATAGAACACTTCAGGCAACGTCTGAGGGACTCTCATTCTCCAAATATATTCATTCCTGATGAGAACTAAAATTATCTGAATCTTCACAAATACATTATGATATAGGGGTTCCTGATATTCATTAGTGACCATTTCGACACTTCCATCGTCTTATTCCGTGACTTAAAATGTGATAGTTCAATAAAATAGACATTAAGTGAGATGAGACGTCACAAACTAACGAAAGGGGAATTCATGCAGTTTAATCTAACCGGAAGATTAATTTGATTAAAAACGAACTGCATAAGTGCTCCAAATGGCCAAACACGAGAGAGGTTATTTATTCTGTTAACCCTCAGAGCCCGTGGAATGTCGATTGACCAAAGAGGGACTGGATTATGCGGGATTCAAGAACGTTGACTCACACGGTCGGAAGTGCCTACCCTGGTTGAGTCGGGCACACGACAAGCGATTTGCATTCATGGACTTGATGACATTCCCTGATGAAATCGTGGATAGCAGTCACGATTACTGTCGGAATCCTGACGCTGACAGCGGCGGTCCATGGTGCTTCACAGAGGAGGGAACTGGCGAGAGCTGGGGAAGGTGCATGGTTCCATTCTGCTCTCAATTGTACGAGCGATTCGCCGTCGAGGGTAAGCTATTCTGTTCGTTCGTTCTCATGGTGAAGCAACCTTCATCTAATGCGAATGTTTCATGAAAGAAGAGCTGAAAGTGACTGTTCCAAATTAATTTAATCTTTTATTTTAGTGTCTTATGAGGGAAATCTTTCACTGTTTTCCTCTTTCCTTTTGTGTTTTGCGCCGCAACAATTTAAGTCAATGTCTAGGTTAGCTACCCATTCGATTGCTTCTGGGACTGCTGAATGAATGTAGTTAATGCCACGTTTGAAAGCTCTGACTAGAAAGTCGTTCACAATATATTGTGTAGTTTCCGTGTCTAATCTTACGGAAAGCTGTTCCATGGAATAAGTGACGCGATTCCTACAGGTGGAAGGCGCCTTTGGCATGTTTCGAAGATTTTTACGCGAAAATTCTGACAGGTAAACCGGCGGAAGGATATCCGGAATGCTTGCAGACGGCAATGGGGAAGGAATACATTGGCACGACGAGGAAAACGAAGACCGGAAAGCCCTGTCTCCGATGGGATTCCCAGCCCTATGGAAAGCCTGATGACTTTGACCCAAATATACCTTATGAGGCTCATTTCCGATTCGGCAATTCCTCGTTGCATCATGATTTCTGCAGAAACCCGACGTTCAGGCACCAACCTTGGTGCTTCGTTGAAGATGCAGGCATCGAATGGGAATTCTGCCAGATCCGCTTCTGCCCCGACTACCCCAGTGAGTTCACTACAATCCATTATATTATGCTGCATTTCAAATGGATAGTCACGAAGGTTGACACCGCCGAAACTCGTTGGATGTAGATGCCCTGTTACGGTCCCATTGCGCTTCTAGGTTGCAAAAATGAAATTCAATTTCCGCCAACTCGTGAGATGTTCCAAATTGACTGGATGCAGTGTTAAATGGCAAAGGGAAAACTTATTTAAGATACTGAACAGTTCATCGGTCGTTGCTCACATGAATGATGAAATTCGATTCTCGATGAGGCGCATGGTGACCAAGGGGATGTTTTCTTCCGATGCTATTATCTACCTCTTTGTGTCGATGAATGATTCTTTCCTTCGATTGAACCGCAAGAAATGTTCTTTATCGATTAAAAACAATTAGTACTGGAGATTTACTCGTTGGATAGTTCCGCGTGCCCGCCCGATACGGCACAAATCTATTCGTGCGTCATCCAGCAACGGATGACGTACCTCAATGTGTCCAGTATTGTTTTCGACTGGACCCCCCGTTTTTGCAGGGACACATCTTGAGAGTCATTCATCCATATCTTGCAATTATATTTCTAAATCATTTTTTTCTTTTTTTCTTCTTCTATCAGACAAGGAGGAATGCAGATGGACGAAGGAGGGAGAGGAGTACGCAGGGACTCGAAATAAATCACAGGAGTTGTTTTGTGCGCAATGGCCTGAATCCGCGTTGCTGGAGAGGCTTTGGCGCAGATTCCCAGAGGACGTGAGGAGCGAGAATCACAACTTCTGTCGCAATCCGGATGGGCGTGAGACCGGGCCCTACTGCTTTAACGGGGAAGATTATAGCGGTGAAGTTGAAACCTGTGACATCCCTTTCTGCCCTTTCCACTACCTCTACTAATGTTCCTATCTAATACTTCCTACGCAAAACCGGCAAACAGGCCCAATCGCACTTCTCCACAGATATCATGTTTGAAATGCATTCAATTTCGCACCCATTGGATTGATTCCCATTCTTTCTCGTCACTATCGCACTCCCTGTGGGTAAGTCCTTCTCGCCCGCACCCCTCTCTACCGTGATTTCTTATGGGATATGCATTTGGCCCTCCCACGTTCTCTGACGTCCAACATGCAGACACCCGTTTTCGTCCTCGGTGTTTTACCCCGAAAGTTTTGGTGCCTATATCGGAGAGAAAGATCCGACTCGTTCGCATTTTGAACCCCATTCCCTTGTTACATGAGCCCGACACGCAACCAACTAAACCATTGATACCCTCCATTTGTGAGGGTTCCTCGGTTGAAGCTTGTCGAGTATTTGTCGCAATGTGACGTGACGTGACGTGAAAATGTGACGTGAACTTCACGAAATTTCAAGGTTTCCATCAATTTCAGTTTCGCTCGAATCCGAACAGCAGAGGAGGAGTTCCCCGACCGAAAGAACGCATCCAAAAATGTAGACCATTGACCTCTAATGTTTTAAAGGGGAATGGCAGTCAAAAAAGCAACTTTGCCACCAAATTCAGAGGGTTTTATGATCGTTAAAAAAAAATAAACAATTTTTAGATGAATAATGACTCAGGTAATCCTAGGTGGCCCAGAGCCACATCGGTCAGAGGGTCACCAAACTCATTCGTCCTGATGTCTCATCCCAAGGAAGCATGAGGTCCAAGTTTCAGGAGTCATACCGTCTCGGAGGAGAAGCGGACTCACACAGGCCCATTAGTAAAATAGATACTCGGGAACATGCGAATGTCACTACTATTCCATTCCTCTATTGTGTCTATTCCTGCTTCTTGTCTCAGTGTTGTTCTTCTCTCCTGTCCCTTGAAATAAAAGGTTATTGCTTTATTATTGCTTTAGTATGTGTTGATTAAGTTTTCAGGATTCAGGATTCAGGATAGTTAGTGATATCAGGAGGCGATTTCGCCCATTTCGATATCACGTGTCGAGGTCGAGCGTTCCTTAATTTTAGGGTAGGCCTAACCCTCTTAACGCTAAATATTTTTGTATTTTTGTTTTGTTATTTGTTATTTTATATTTTTTTTGTTATTTGACTATCCTAGTTGCTTACTGTCTAGTACCTAACGTCAACATTGCCCCCCACCTTTTTGCCTGTCCATGAAAACATCTAATGTCTTCTTAAAGATAGTCACAGAAGGGGCAGCCACTACTTCGTCATCTAA